GAATCTATTTTTTGTTTCCTAAAGAAAAATTGCATTAATGAGAGAGATCCGTTGATTTGGCTAAGGTAGGTAAGAATCTATTATTTGTTTCCTAAAGCAAATTGCATTAATGAGAGAGATCCGTTGATTTGGCTAAGGTAGGAAAGAATCTATTATTTGTTTGCTAAAGCAAATTGCATTAAAGAAAGAGATCCGTTGATTTGGCTAAGGTAGGAAAGAATCTATTATTTATTTCCTAAAGAAAATTGCATTAATGAGAGAGATCCGTTGATTTGGCTAAGGTAGGAAAGAATCTATTATTTGTTTCCTAAAGCAAATTGCATTAATGAGAGAGATCCGTTGATTTGGCTAAGGTAGAAAAGAATCTATTATTTGTTTGCTAAAGGAAATTGCATTAATGAAAGAGATCTGTTGATTTGGCTAAGGTAGGAAAGAATCTATTATTTGTTTCCTAAAGAAAATTGCATTAATGAGAGAGATTTGTTGATTTGGCTAAGGTAGGCGGTTTTTGCGGTTCTTGGTGGCTCAGTGTGAGGTGGGGCGAGGTACAAAAAAATATTATGGAAGGTGAGACGGAAAAAAACCTGGGAGGTGGGAGTTGTCCCTAGTTAACCTACGAAATTTCATAGATTTTTTTAGGACGAAAAAAAACCAGTGGAGGTGGGACGAAAATTGGCCGGCGGAGACTACCACCTCCCACTACTGACTTTTTTTCGTCCGGTTTTATTTCATCCCACCTCCCACTACTGACTTTTTTCTTAATTAATAACTCCACCCTCCTGCTGGTTTTTTTCTAATCTAATTCAATCTATTGATCCTTCCTTAGTCACAATGCACTTACATGTAGCCCCGACAGATCGGTTTCCATATGAAATAAAACACAATCATCAATCAATCCTTGGTTCTCTTTTATAGGACTTGTTGCCATACATGAACCATACGATAACTTCCATATACGAAATAAAGGGAAACACAATCAGGTTTCCTTCCTTTCCAAAGTTCTAGCCACCGACCCCCTCCCCAGACCGCGTTCTTTTTCCCATGCCACCATCGACAATCTGCTCTCCCATTTCCTCGTCCTCCCCACGTTGTGAAGTTCCAACGCACAACTACACAAACACCAGTGACATAGAAAACCACCGCCTCCTCCTCCGCGCCACTGCCTACTCTATTTTTCCCCTCTGTGTGGCGACCTGAATGGAAGGCGGTGGATCTGGGATGCGCCTGGCTCCACAAGACGTCAGGCGTAAGGAAGGATGGAAAACCACCGGCTGGATGGCCAAGGGTGGCCCATTGAAGGTTTGAAACCTCCTATGGCGTAATTTTGTGCAACCTGCATGAAGATTGTAGGAGCTATCTATGTGGTCGTTCCATCGGCAACAAGTACATATTGGATAGCACATAATTTGAAATTCTTGACGAAGTTGACTGACCATGACTTTGACTCTCACAATGTTGCATGTTCTTCGGAGTTGACTGGTGGCGTTTTTAGGTTATTACTACCATGAAGATGAGAGGAACATCGAGAAAAATCATTTCCCTAAAAAATGGATGGGAGGAATATCTTGGTCTATGATTTCATGATGAATAGGACCCTGAGAAAGCAGTGGATGATGCCCCGTTGATTCTCTTTGAATTCGGCTACTGTGGGAATGTGTATAGTCAGGCTTGGAGTGAGCGCTCCATGCATGTGTGTCAGTGGCACTCAGAGATTGGTTGTGCCGCTCTTGTGAGGGTGCGTGGGAGTGGTGTGCTCGAGACACGCCAATCTCGTGAGCAGGTGCGGAGATGAGTTGCACAAGAGAAACATTGGTGGGATGAACCCAAACCTTTATTTTTTTTTCTAATATGAATTATCCTTCCTTCTTAGAAAAACATGTTTTGAGTAAAGTTATCTTTACTATAGACATATATTGACAATTAATCAAGTATCAACATCATTGCATGCTTATTGCGTGGAATGTGTGTCCCAATGTTGATAGAAGGTATAAAAAGATTGTCTTGGAATTATTATTTTCTTGGGAAGATATTGCCCTGAATTCTCATTTCTCATCAGAAATTTAGTATCCATTTTCGTTGATCTTATTTGCAACATGTACAAGTCAGTAATAATCTAAGGGGGTGCCCTACCGGAGAAGATTATGATAGTTGGACAAGAAACTTGGTACTGTCGTGCAAGGTAGAGGTAGGAGAAATAGGAGATAAAAGCATGCATGGTGGGAGAAGGAAGTCGAGTGTCGCGTGGTAGCTCAGACATGGAGTGTGGAAGAAAGACAATGACGAGATGTATGTACCTACTAGATCATGACCATGAGATATCATCCCATAAAAATGGCCTTTGACTCTCATGTCACATGAATTTTCTCTTTGTATATATATATTTGTTAGTCCGTGGCAACGCACGAACACTTAGCTAGTAAAATTGTAGCGCCCTCTGCGCTCTCTCGTCGCTCCCTCCACAACTTTCTCTCCTCTCCACTGACACACCACCACCGCGCCACCATGCCGCCGCGCCGCCGGGGAGCTTCGGGCTCCCGCGGCGTCCGCGTGCGTCCGTCCGGCACCTACTCTGTCGAGATTCGGTCGGGCGACGTGCGCCTCGGCTTCGGAACCTTTGACTCCGACCAGGAGGGCTCCCGCGCGTACGACGCTGCGGCGTGGCGCCTCCGGCGGTCCCGTTGGGACATGAACTTCCAGAACGTGGCGACGCAGGAGCGGGCGCAAGAGTTGGCGCCTCCCCCGCGGCTTTTCTCACCGACGAGGATCATCGTGAGAATCGGAGGCGGAAGCGCCGTCTCAGCCTGGCCGAGATGGACGAGGAAGCCATGGCGTTGTGGCGCCAACGCTTCCCGCAAGACGTCATCAACGAGCAACAGTTCTTCTCGGAGAGGAGGGCGGAGAGGGAGGAGAGGAGGCAGGAGCGAGCCGCCTATCGCGTGGACAAGCAAACGCGGAAGACGGTCGCCAAATTGAACATCGCGCTAGGAGATGCGTCGTCCTGGGACTCCAATGACGAGCGGTTCCTTGATGCCTATGCTCAGACGTCGGAGGAGGACATCACCGAGGCAGAGTCCGAATCGGAGAATGACGAGTAGTAGTAGTTTTTCTATCTATTGTACAAGAAGACTATTTGCACTATTTTGTATCGTAGAAGAAATATATGTGTGCACATTTATACTATCGGAGCCAAATGTGTGTCGAATCGTAGTTAAAAAAAGATGCAATATAGCGCGCCTGCTGGAGCGACTCGGACACGCTTTATTTTACGGCGACCGCTGAAGCTAGCACACCGCGACGTGCAAAAGCTGACGATTCCGGCGCTGCAAACTGATTTTTAACGCGCCGCGTGGTGAAGATGCGCTTAGATTTAGCAATCCCGTTTGTCTTATTTAAACGTAATCAACAAGGGCCGATCATCACGCACTAAGCGGAAATAGAATCTTCATTGAAGGAAGGCCATGCATGCCGGACTGTTTGATCCCGGGATGGATGCATGCATAGCCCCTACATCTTGCTGCTGACGCCCCTGCTGGTGGGCCCCAACTCCTTGGCGATGTTCCGGAGCACGTACTTCTGGATCTTGCCCGTGGACGTCTTGGGCAGCTCGTCCCGGAACACGACGGTCTTCGGCACCATGTAGCGCGGCATGCGCTCCCGGCACCATGCCACGAGCTCCGCCTCCGTCAGCTCGCCCCTACCGTTGTCCACCTTGAGGCTCACGAACGCGCAAGGCGTCTCGCCCCAGAACTCGTCCGGCCGGGCCACCACCGCCGCCTCGTTCACGGCCGGGTGGCCGTACAGCACGGACTCCACCTCCACGCTGCTGATGTTCTCCCCGCCGCTTATGATCACGTCCTTGGAGCGGTCGCGTATCTCCAGGTACCCGTCCGGGTGCATCACCCCGACGTCCCCCGTGTAGAACCAGCCGTCTCGCCTGATCGACGCCCGTGTCGCCGCCTCGTCGTTGAAGTAACCCAGCATGACGCACCCTCCTCGGATCACTACCTCGCCTGCCGTGGAGCCATCACGGGGCACGCTGCGGCCGCTCTTATCGTCGACGACGTCGACCTCGGCCGTAGCCGGCGTGCGCACGCCCTGCCTCGCCTTGAGCCGCGCGCGCTCCGAGGCGGGCAGCTTGTCCCACTCCGCGTTCCAGACGCACGACGTCGCCAGCCCCGCCGTCTCGCATAGCCCGTACCCGTGCCTGACTTTGAAGCCGATGGCCTCGGTGCGGTGCAGCACGGCAGCGGGCGGCGGTGCGCCGCCCGTGAGTATCTCCACCTTGCCGGGCAGCGTCTTCCGCACGGCCTCGGGTGCATTGGCCAGCATGTTCAGCACGACCGGCGCGCCGCAGAGGTGCGTCACCCCGTGGCGAGAGATGGCGGCGTAGACATCGGCGGCGTCTACGCGGCGAAGGCAGACGTTGCTGCCGCCCACCACGGCTACCCCCCACGGAAAGCTCCAGCCGTTGACGTGGAACATGGGGAGCGTCCACAGGTACGTCGGCCGCGCCGGCATCGCCCAGTCCACGAGCGAGTCGAGGGTTATCAAGAAGATGCCGCGGTGGCAGTGCAACACCCCCTTGGGCGCCGACGCCGTACCGGAGGTGTAGTTTAGGATCATCGGCTCCCACTCGTTCGCCGGCCGGACCCACGCGAAATCCGGGTCGCCTTTCTCAAGCAGCCCCTCGTACGTCAACGCCGTCGCGGGGGCGGGAGGGAGCTCCTTCTCGTGGGGGTCCTCCGCGACGATGACGCGGGGGACAGGGTGCTCCGGCGGCAGGAGCCGGAGCGCGTCCTCGATGAGCTGGAGCGACGCCGGGTCGACGAAGACGAGCTTGGAGCCGGAGTGGTGGAGGAGGACGGACACGGTGCGCGCGTCGAGGCGCGTGTTGATGTTGTTCAGGATGGCGCCGCTCATCGGCACGCCGAACTGCATCTCGTACATGGCCGGCACGTTCGGCAGCAGCACGGACACCTAGTTCAGTTCATAAGATAAGCAGCTCATATTAGGTCAACTTATGTGAATTAACCTCCTGTAATCGCAAACTTGAGCACGTTAATCTTCTTACGACATCCCGGCGGGCGATCCCAATCGAGGCGAGGGCAGAGGCGAGGCGGAGGCAGCGGCGGAAGGTCTGGCTCCAGGTGTAGACGGTGTCGTGGTAGACGACGGAGGGGCAATCGCGGTACGCGGTGGCCGCACATTCCAGGAATCCTAGCGGCGTCAGGGGGCAGGAGTTAGCCGGGTTCGGCCCGAGCTTAGTCATGGCCGTCGAGCCGCCGGATCTGGACGAGAAGAGGGTTTGGCTTTCCATTGTACGGGACGACTTCGCGAGTGAGCTCACCTTCTGTTGGTGGGGAAGATGAGGGCAACTACTGAGCAAGGAGAGCTGCGTTTCTCCGATGAACTGATGAGTACGACCTCTATATACTGCAGGCATGCAGCATATGCTAATTCACGGGCTGGAACAGAAAAAACGTGTTAGCCAACAATTTTCGATATAAAAAAACGTGAATACATATATATTGCGTCTCGTCTCAGTTTTTCGATAGTTGTGTTGATCATATCATAACCTAACATTTGAGCGTAACGTGATCAATCAGCTGACAGAATGACAGATGATAGGAAGTGGGACTTCTGTATCTCCAGAAATCAACACAATAAAATGTAGTAGAGATTACTGTGAACCAACCCATAGTTAGATGGGTAGCATTGGTGAGTGTATGAGCGTATGCATCTGTACTAAACCCGGGCATGGACAGCCTGGCACGACGACCCGGCTCAGGCCCGGCATGAAAAACCCGTGCCGGGCTCGGGCGTTGTTTTGCAGCCCGGAAGATAGATCGGGCTGGGATCGGGCTTCCGTTTTTCTGTATTTCGAGTGGGTCTTTTGGGCTTTGGGCCGGGCTTGCCTGTACGTATACTAAAAAACAGCATTCGGGCTGGGCTTTCGGCGTTCGGGCTTGATTTCGGGTTGGGCTTGGGCTTAAAAACAGGGAGTATTTCAGGCTTTAGGCCGGGCTCGGGCTTGTAAAATGAAGCTCGGCCTTTTACAAGCCCGGTCCGACGTTTGCCCGGGTTTAGTTTGTATTGTGTTCAAAACAAAAATGTAGACATTATTCGTGAACTAAATTTAACTCTCTTTTAAAAAAGACAAAGCAAGCTTGCTCATGGTGTTGGACGATCTCTAATTTCCAATTTGTATTTTTGTTTGATTGACTTTCAGTGTTTGCTACTCTTTGTCATAGTCATAAGAGTTGGCAAGACCAGTGGCGGATTCAGCGGGGTGTCGTGGATGCCCCAACACCTTCTAAAAAATGCAAATGTCTTTTGTGGCGTGTTACGCATCCGTCGGCTAATCTTTTTATAATATCCGTGGGGCCGTGAGCCGTCGGATCTGCGCCACCAAATGGTCGAGCGGCGCTCTCCACCTTTGCAAGAAGGTTTAAGTTGTAGAAACTTTTGCAACAGAGTCCGTGTTGCGAAAAACTTTGCAACGGGGGTTATGTTTCAAAAAACTTTTGCATGCTATGTTTCAATTTTTTTTGCAACATAGGTCATGTTGCAGAAAAATCGCCGCACTCACATTGCCACACCGTCGTATTTCCACTGTAACATTCCCCATGTTTCAGAAACATGGACGATGTTGCAATCCGAGTCTTGCATCGATCGGCTCTTTTGTAGCAGTGGAGCTCCTAGCATCTGTGTTGGAGGAGGCCACCGCCGTTGTTTCACCACCGCCATCCACCCCCCGAGCCCCCTGCAGTCAGCGACGAGCATGTTGGCCCTAAAACAACAGGCTTTGGTTTGTACGAGCGCGGTTTCCATATTTAGGCAACATGTGGTTTCTCGCTGGAGGAGCAACCGTATGCTATGGCTGGGAGCTTGAGATGGATATCATGTGGTGGGGAAAAGGAGAAAGGCTAAGCAGTTGGGTCTTGTTAGGATAAGGATGCACTGTTGCTTGTGGATGTCTCCAGATAGAAAGAGAGGGTGTGGGACCGAGAGAGAAGGAGGCAACCATGTGATCGGATCTGATCTGACGGCAGCGCGTCTGGTGGATGTCCAGCACGGATCGGCCGGCTAAGGGGAAGGATTTATTACCATATATTTTTCTCTATAAGACCTATTACTAGTTTGTCTAATCTATGCGTATTATAGAATTAAAGTGCTAAACATGACATCTTTTTTATACTAGTAAGTATGTAAAGTTCATCTATTAAGAGCCTGTTCAGTAATCCACTGGCTTGAGGAAATCCTACGCTCCGGCTCCTCCAAGCAAGCTCCAGCTCGCGATTTCCATCTACAGATCGCTCTGCTCCATTCTGTCGACTCCAGGGAGTTGCAGCGTTCGGGCCGGCTCCGCCGGCTCCCAGAGCAGAGTTGTGGAGTGGAGTGGATCCGAACAGGCCCTAAGCCGGCATTTGCCTTTTTGATGACAGGTCACCACTGATGGTATTAGGAGTTCGTGTTACAAGATGAGTTTGGTCTTGTGACCTCTTCTAAGATGGCTGTCCAAAATCACACGATGTAAGTGTTCACTGTTGTGCTCATCACTTTCATATTTCTACTTCTCACCGTATCATCATTCAATTCCTAGTCCACTAAAATGGTAAATAATTTTGTACTGAAGTGTGTCCTATGTTCCTGCCAAATATGTAGTACTCCAAATTACCGAAAATATAGTAATCAGAATTAATTGTAAAAGAATAGTCCTATATGCTTTTGCCAAGTATTAATCGGAATTAGTAGTCCACAAAGAACAATGGTGGCAATTCTGAGTGAAATATACATGCTCAAAATAGTCAAATGAAATATTCCTATCCATAAACCCCAATACAATCCACCTATGTGATTACAAAATTTTGATTAGACATTTTAATTTGATCAGATGAAAGATAAATAAACATGAATAATTAAATAGCTTTATGGTGTTTCAGCTGAAACACCACACATGGTGGGCAGCCTGACCGAAATTGACACTCACTATACCAATGCCCAATTCCATTCACGTTCCGTTCCTGCTCTGTGCAGTGCTCTCCAACCCTAGCGAGCTTGCTGCCATAGTCATCGCTCTCCTGCGAGCAAATTACTGAAGATATGAGATTTCATGAAAATTTAGTTATTTCTAACTAAATGATAAAGTATTATTTCCACTGCTTCTATAGATCATAACAAACGCAGATGTCGAATACTCATGCATCTAGACATTCTATTGACAATCAATTGGCAATAACTACTCTTTAGAAGGCAAAATATATATGGAGAAATAAAGATGTGGGGTTTTGAGCTAGGTCCATCGATATTCTCACTGGCCGCCACAACTTTCTCTTGCTAGCGGGATATGTATTCCTTCTTTAGATATTCTGCTTTCTTCTTATCAGATGGTCATGGCATATCAGTATATCATCCCAGGTCAAATTGCGTTTCTGTGAATTGATGGTTAGTAATTGCTCCGTTTGCGGCTCCAGATTTTAGCCTAGCAATGGAGGCAATGAAGTTAGTTATGAGTATTAGATGGTTGGGACAAATAGCAGCACTACAAGGTTAGACCCTGCAAATTGACTGACCTTCTACCCTGTGTTTATACATTTACATATCCTAGCTCTGGATAATACTAAAGAACTTGGGTTACTTTTATACTACCAAAATTACATAAACCCTTTCTAAAAAAAATTAGCACCAGGACATGTGTGCGGTCCCCTTTTAAGAAATTAATGTAAACCAATTTATTAACCAACAATGCTCATGTTTAAAAAATTATAGAACATATAGAAGTTTATTGGATTTTCAAATTGATTTGGATTAACAGTACACGGGAAGTTCAGAGATCATAAAAAATTACATGATATCTGAAGTGCAAATAATAAGTTCATTTATTATGATGGATAGTGTAAAACCCAAAAATCACAAACCACTTTATTGTATAATTTATCCAGTAAATCAAGATCAGTGCGAAAGACACGATTCAACCAAAAATAAATTTAACTACAACCATAGTAAATTAGAGCAGAAGTTCCTATCCAACCTATCTATCACCCTATACGTACTACAAACTTCGTTCAAAATACACACTCCTGAATCATAACCATCCAATACTCCTAGTCTTATACATACTGCATATATTATCACTTGATTTTGTGAGGGATAACTAACCAGATAACGATGAGAAAATCAAGTAATCTCCAATTATACATATAACTTACTAAAAGGGTCCACCCCCTAGCCCATTGAGCATTTTTCAATAGAAAGTAATGGAAGCACTAACAAAAAAAGTAAGATTGCGATCAGAAGACTGTATCTTACCAAGTTTAATCTTTTTTTCCGGCCTACAGTGGGGTCCTGAACTTCTGATTATCACGGCTGCAGTACAGACGGCAGAGAAGCTTACACTTAATTAGATTTAGAAATTAGAACCGATTGCCATTAGTCCCCCTGCGTTGTAGGTACCATGGTACCTTGAAGGTAATATGAACAAAATAAATGTCTTAGTCTAAAGTCTCGATGAACATAATAAAGATATATGTAGGGAATATAGAGTAACCAAAGAAGGAGAACTGATCCAATTGAAAGGGGTCATGTGAGGAATGAAATAACTCCATTAACACGTCAGACCAAGATGAACCAATCTAACAACAGTCAAATAAATAGAGGAAAGGGTATACCTGAATTCCACTGCAGAAACAACACGTGATTACTTTTCATTCTTATTCCCCAATAGTTATTTTTATCAGATGGATCAAATGAACTCCGTTTTATTAATCATTGCTCACTACTGGGGCAGTTTAGTTCTTAGTGTTTCAGGCCAAAAGATGAGCTCGAAAGAGTTTATTAAATCTGTCTAGCACTCTAGCTAGCTAGCATGGGATTACACCACCCATCATTCTTCACATGGTTTGTGGAACAGGATGGCACTGTCACACTACTGCAATTGACATGTGGTTAAAGCATGACCAGCAGCTGCATTCACCTCAAAAGACAAACAATAATTGGCAGAGACCTAGAGGAAATGGGGTGAGAAATAGCTCAGATTAAGCATCCATATTTGATTTTGCAATAATAATAACATAGTTAGAACATAAATTACCTAAGACTCTGTTGTATGGATTTTTTCTAACTCCATCGACGAATTGGATCTGGGGCAAGTGTCTCCTAATGCAGGAAGTCTGCCACAAGACTGAGCATCAATTTTATGCCAACAATGTATGCATAAAGTAATCCTTACTGAATACAATTAAGAAAAAAAAAGTAGTACACCAATTTTGCGTTTAAATAGAGAGTCATGCAAGTGATGTTCCAATGGGTAGCCAATGG